GGGTGGACACCACGGAGGAAGCCATTGCTGTCCAAAAAGAATATTGCAGCACGTTTGAAGTTGGCAAAAGAGCACCTGGATGTTCCACAGCACTACTGGCAAAATATACTGTGGACAGATGAAACCAAGATTGAGTTGTTTGGGAAGAACACACAACACTATGTGTGGAGAAAAAAAGGCACAGCACACCAACATCAAAACCTCATCCCCACTGTAAACATGGCGGAGGGAGAATCATGGTTTGGGGCTGCTTTGCTGCCTCAGGGCCTGGACGGATTGTTGTCATTGATGGGAAAATGAATTCCAGAGTTTATCAAGACATTTTGCAGGAAAACGTACGACCATCTGTCCGCCAACTGAAGCTCCGCAGAGGATGGGTGACGCAACAGGACAATGACCCAAAGCATACAAGTAATTCAACAAAACAATGGCTGCAACAGCACAGAATATGCCTTCTGGAGTGGCCCAGTCAGAGTCCTAACCTCAACCCGATTGAAATGCTGTGGCATGACCTTAAGAGAGCGATTCACACCAGACATCCCAAGAATATTGCTACACTGAAACAGTTTTGTGAAGAGGAGTGGTCCAAAATTACTGCAGATCGTTGTGCAGGTCTGATCTTCAACTACAGGAAACGTTTGGTTGAGGTTATTGCTGCCAAAGGAGGGTCGACCAGTTATTAAGTCCAAAGGTTCACATACTTTTTCCTCCCTGCACTGTGAATGTTTACATGTTATGTGCAATTAAACCATGACAACATCTAATGTTTGTGTAGTATTATGTTCAGCAGACTGTGTTCTTCTATTGTTGTGACTTAGATGACGTTCAGAGCACATTTTATGCCCAATTCATGCAAAACTCTACCTAATTCCAAGAGGTTCACATACTTTTTCTTGCAACTGTATATGCTGTAGGCCCAATAAAAAATATGAGACAGTAGGCCAATGCACTTAAGAATCATACCAGGTAAAAGGAATCCTATTCCATCTCTGTTCTTCTATCAGTATGTGGTTGTGCCTTCCTCCCAGACTCTTACCCTTTGGCACATGTCCACGTGAGCAAGTTGGATATCAAGTCTGAAACATCTGCAAGTTAACAAGACTTTAAAACTGTAGCCACTTCTCTGCCTGAAACAAAGAATCTATCTCTCTTAGTGTGGGTGGGAGATGGTTTTGAATGAATCATTAGTGGGAGTACATCTGCTATTTAAGATAGGAATATTATATATCTTTATTTTGTATAGCCTTGTTATAGAGCAACAGCATGACGACCAGTTAAGGTGTATTACACTTGCATTTGTTCTTTTTGAGTTGTTAATGCAGCAATCACTTGATCGCATAAAAATAGCAGATTTTTTTTTTAGGGGCTTAAAACTTTATGATGGTGAATGAACATTTTTTTCAACCAATTGTTGCACCTATTTAAAGTTTGGACACAGTTAAAAAGTCCATTCCCTACCAAAATCACAGGGGCAACACTGCTAACGTAGATCTAAACTATGACTGGACAACATGCTTTGTGGACTTTGTATAATAAACAATTGACAATTTTTAAAATAAAATACTGTTTTCACTTTTCTGTAAATTTTTTTTGGCATCTCCTGGCAACTGATCACCTCCTTCCTCTTTCAGCCACTCCATATCTGCATGCATTGGCTCCAACTGTACATAATTGCTCTGAACCAGTTTCCTAATAATGAAACCTTAGTTCGCACTTGTTCAGGCCATGTTGTGCCTGCAGTTTATGCAAAAACACAGACACAGGGAAATCAAATGGTCTTTTTGACCGAGCAATTTTCCTGTGGTTCCCACACCCACAAATGGTCTTTGGGATGAGATGCAAGGCTGCATGCTGTTATGCCAGGAAATGCCTGGGCAATTAATTTAGTCAACTAAAAGTGCCTCCAAATATAAAAAGACTTTATAAAAATATTTTAACTGATCTAAGCTAACTTTTAGCCAAACAAAATTCTGTAAGAACATAAAGAAGATATGTGTGAATATGGACTGCAAAGTATTAAATAGATTAAGATGTAATACAGTAAGTTACATACAAACACATAATAGCCGTATTGTGATGTACATAGACACCAAGATAATTTGCATAAATTGTGCAAAATTGTCCTTAACAACAGACTATATATATATATATATATATATATATATATATATAAAATGAATTCAATTTGATAATCCATTTCTCCCTATAGACAGAATAACTAGTGATAACTAATTATCAGACAATAGTTTGTTTTTTTATGGAATGCAACTGTTATTCCCCTGTAGAAAGAATAAGCTTCAACTTTGCAAAACTGTATGCCAATATTGCCGAAGAACAGAAAAATAATAAAAAAAAATATGAACAATAAAATGTTGTTCACAAATATTAATTTGGGTGGTTATGTTATCAAGGGGAGAATGATTACGTTACAGCAAGAAAAATGGTAATAGGCTTTTTATAATCTAGTCAACCAAAAGCAATAGAAGAAATATAATTAAACTCCATGTATCAGTTAACCTTTCAGATCAGACCCAAAGATTGTTGCTGATTAATGGGTGGAGTTAAGTTTCCACAAAATGTCATCTACACAGGCTGGAGCTGTGTGTTCTTAAATTCAGTAAAGTGTCAAATGATGGCTGTGTAGATGGTCCATTTGGATGGTTTGTGTGTGTGTCATCAGATGGTTCTCAAGATCCTGATTTTCTCTTTTATCTAATAGCACACAATACATTCATAAAATTTGAATAAACCTGGCTCAGAAGGTGGCACTTTCTTCCTATTGGTGAATTTAATTAATAACCAAACCCATGTTTAGTTTTACATTACCTGGTGACACACTATGACAAAAAGTAATTACAAGAAGGTCCCTTTCAGTTGGGGTGGACCCGTCAGTGGATCCACCTGCTCAGTGAGGGATCTATCGACTGATCCTCACTGAGCAGGTAGATGACAGGTCTGCATTCATTCTGCTGCTGCAGATTGGATACAGATAGAGCTCACTGACTTTTATGGGGCAGTCAGACAGAAACAGACTGAATGATTTGATCTGCCAGACAAATGAGAACAGATACCTATCCATCTGTTTTTGGCATACAGAATTGGATGCCTGCAGGTGTCTAGTCAATAGAGGTGTCAGAGCCTGGGTTCAAACCTGGGTCTACTGCAGTGAGAGGTGATGCTTCTTCTTGCTGAGCCACCTGGAATGCTGGACAGCTCCCTTGACAATTCTTTGGATGATTCTGCTTTGGCCCTGTTTGTCTTGAACCTTGAACACCTTGCTTCTCCCATGCACTTCCTGATAAAAGCCATGCCTCTGCATTTCCTCTTTGCCAGATTATTGTGCCTTTACCAGCCAATATTCCACTTGTCTCTCCTGCTGCCGTCTATACCTTCGTTACCGACCTTTGGCTTGTTCCTGAACTACGATTTTGCCTCATCCTGATCTACTACCGTTTGTGACCAACCCTTGGCTTGTTGCCTGACTCTGCTTCTGCTTGATCCTTTACTTGTTCGATCTGCTACTGGGTTCTAGCTTGCTCATTTCCTGGTGGGGTGATCCTAGGATCTGCGACCTGGTATCAACACGCTGCCAATCCATATCCACAATTAGGAGCTCTGGTGGAAACCGGTTGGTGCTTAGACTCCGCACCTCAGGTGAGCCTGCGTCTTTTACCAGAGTGACCTGCCTATGTACCTATCCTGCTGGTTTCAGGGAAGCCTTAACACTGCTATAGCAACTGGTCTCTGAACCTGACCCAGACCGTGACCAGAGGTCTATGGATGGTCCAATCGGGTCCACCTGAAAAACCACCAGATGGACCCAATCGGACCGGCAATGTGAAAAGGGCCTAAGTTTATCTTATGGTAATGGATCTTATAAAATAATTTGTTATAGAATCAATTAAGATTTTACTATAACAAGTGGGACTAAGCAATATGATCTAAAATATATAGAATACTTATGAGATCTGGTCATTGCCAATATACACTATATTGCCAAAAGTATTGGGACGCCTGCCTTTACACGCACATGAACCTTAATGGCATCCCAGTCTTAGTCCGTAGGGTTCAGTATTGAGTTGGCCCCGCCCTTTGCAGCTATAACAGCTTCAACTCTTCTGGGGAGGCTGTCAGCAAGGTTGAGGAGGGTGTCTATGGGAATGTTTGACCATTCTTCCAGAAGAGCATTTGTGAGGTCAGGCACTGATGTCGGGGGAGGAGGCTTGGCTTATAATCTCCTAATGCATTCCAAAGGTGTTCTATTGGGTTGAGGTCAGGATTCTGTGCAGGCCAGTCAAGTTCCTCCACCCCAAACTCACTCATTTGAGTCTTTATGGACCTTGCTTTGTGCACTGGTGTGCAGTCATGTTGGAACAGGAAGGGGCCATCCCCAAACTCTTCCCACAAAGTTGGGTGCATGAAATTGTCCAAAGTGTCTTGGTATGCTGACGCCTTAAAAGTTCCCTTCACTGAAACTAAGGGGCCAAGCCCAACCCATGAAAAACAACCCCACACCATAATCCCCCCTAAACCAAACTTTACACTTGGCACAATGCAGTCAGGCAATATCCCAATACCGTTGGCAACATAGTGTATGATAATCATCACCTTTCTGGTGTAGCAATATTTAAATGTAACTCTTTAACTATAAACTGGTGCAGTTTATTATATAATGAGCAAAATATTAGTTCTACACATAGAGGACCAAAAAATGACTATATATACACTCTCTTAGATTGTAAGTTCCAAGGATCAGGGTCCTCCTAACCCTCTTGTATTGAATGGTATTGTTGCTGTATTGTCTCCCGTTATATTGTAAAGCGCTGAGCAAACTGTTGGCGCTATATAAATCCTGTATTATAATAATAATAATATTGCCAAAAGTATTGGGCCAGCCCTCCAAATCATGTGATTCAGGTGTTCCAATCACCTCCATGGCCACAGGTGTATAAAATCATCACCTAGGCATGCAGACTGCTTCTATAGACATTTGTGAAAGAATGGGTCGCTCTCAGGAGCTCAGTGAATTCAAGCGTGGTACATTTCCTGGCTACTAAATATTCCACGCTCAACTGTTAGTGGGATTATAACCAATTGGAAGCAACTGGGAACAACAGCAACTCAGCCACCAAGTGGTAGGCAATGTAAAATGACAGAGCGGGGTCAGCACATGCTGAAGCGCACAGTGCGCAGAAGTCACCTACTGTGTGGCCTTCAGATAAGCACAACAACGTAGAGAGCTTCATGGAATGGGTTTCCATGGCCGAGCAGCTGCATCCAAGCCTTACATCACCAAGTGCAATGCAAAGCGTGGATGCCGTGGTGTAAAGCACGCCACCATTGGACTCTAGAGCAGTGGAGACGTGTTTTCTGGAGTGACCAATCACACTTCTCTGTCTGGCAATCTGATGGACGGATGCCAGGAGAACGGTACTTGCCTGACTGCATTGTGCCAAGTGTAAAGTTTGGTGGAGGGGGATTATGGTGTGGGGTTGTTTTTCAGCGGTTAGGCTTGGCCCCTTAGTTTCAATGAAGGGAACTCTTAAGGCCCTAGTATGTGTATGTATGAATGTGATTTAGGGACCTTAGATCGTAAGATCCTTGAGGGTTAGGGACTGATGTGAATGTACAATATACATGTAAAGCGCTGTGTAAATTGATAGCGCTATATAAGTAACTGAGATAATAAATGAGATATCACAATATAAAGAAAGGTGACAGGTTCTCTTCAATATCTAAGTTTGTCACCTTTGATGGATGGATGAATTTCTTTTAATCTAAAAGGAATATAATTAGGAGATGGTAGTTATCCGTGTCTACACTGTACTGACCAGCAGATTGCCTTGTATGATGCAGTTACTGACCTGTGCAGATTATAATTGATATATTGATTTCTTTATAATGAGAAGGCAGTGTGTATATCAGACGGTGAGAGTCTGGACTGAACAGTAACTTTAACTGAATTCAATCTTGAGGCAATGCAGTATTTTACGAAGCGTCTATTTAAAGTGCTATTAAACACAAAACCAAAAATGTATTATATTACATTTTACAAATTCTTTCAGTAGATGTAATGGCTTTTAGGCTTTCTTTCCTTTATTTTCACTTGGTGATCTGGCAAGTAAGTCTGTTATTTTTCATCAGACCAAGCTATCCTGCAGATGTAGAAGTTAGAGGGTGAGAACAAACCATTTTGCCACTGACAAGGATGCTTGCAATGATCAGCTTTTATTTATTTAGGTAAAACTTTTAACCCAAAAGGAATAAAACTATTGCTGATTAATATATATATATATATATTTATAAACTGATTATAAAGTGTTATTGTCACTGGGTTTGACCTCAGTTTGTTAGTGCTTCTAAATCTGAATCTGATAGTCCATCTAACATTCCCCCCCCCCCCCCCCAGACTGATAATGCTTCTGTCTAAAGGTGCTCCCTGTGCTCCGTCATGCAGAGTGGGGGCGCTCTAATACAGTGTGTTACTGGCCAGATCACCAGGTGAAATTTGAGGGAAAAAAAGCTTAAAGGATAGGTTCACCTTTTGGACAAAGAATAAATGCACTTTTTTTTTTGCAGATAAAAGATGTGCATTTATTATTTTTTTTTTCAAAGGAGCTGTAAGGGAATTCCTGTGAGACGGCTGGTGAACAGACCACACACACGCACAGTGAAGTTTGGCGCCAGACGGACTATTTAAGAGGTGCCTCTGCCTGTGCTGAGTGCTGACTGGTCTTCAGCTGTTCCCTGTTTCCTGCTTGTTCCTGTGTGATTTCCTTGTTGCTGACCCAGCTTGTTCCTGACCTAACTCTGATTACTCTCCTGCTTGATACTGGTTCCTGACTTCGGCTCTGCTCCTGACTTTGGCTTGTTTATGATTTGGTACCTCGCTGTCGGCCCATTGATGACCCTGGCTATTCCTATGATGTTGCTCCTGTCTCCCATCCCAGCTTCCTGCATTGTTCTGGTGCACACCTGGCGACCCTCCATACCAGCTCTGCATATTACTACTGTGCCTGAATCGGAGGTTCACCAGTCTTCCAAAGTCTCCAACTGCAAGAGCTGCAAACAACATCTGCTGGCGCTTTTGTCCCCCTGGTCCCTAGACACCCTCTGTTCCACTTCCAGTGGGGTCAGGGCTAGTGACACAAGTGAGGCTGACCTCGTCATTTCAGTCAGGTACGTGACAGGAGCATGGAAAGAATGGCACCAGCGATCAATAGGTCGCTGATGCCATGCAGGTCTCCTGCAGACCTGTCAGAATATCTGCTTGCCGTATGGGGTGTACGGGATGTATGGGATGTACGGGGTGTATGGCAGGGGTATATTTACCACAAGGCAAACAAGGCATTTTCTTAGGGCGGCATTTTTCAGGGGGGAAGCACCATTTTTCAGGGGAGCAGAGCTGCCCTCCAAAACAAGGGCTGAAAGAATGGACACACGCAGCATGGGGACCAGGTGGGATCTGAGAGAGGCTGCAGTCTGCTTGATGGTGCATGCAGAGCCTGACTCTTGTTCCTTGGGAAGTCCGGAGCTGTGAAGGTGAGTGTCTTATCTCTTGCCAAGTTGGGGGTGGGGTTGTCAGTGTATGGGGGGCTGTGGTAGTGGAAGGCTCAGGTGGGGCTGGGGTGTTGTTAGTCAATGTCAGGCTCTCTTTTATGGGGAAGGGAGGTGTTGGTTGGTGTGGGGGTCTCTCAATGAGGGGCAAATTTTGTGTTGCCTAGGGCAGCACGAAACCTAAAAACATCACTGGTGCACGGAATGTACGGGGTGTACCGGATGTACGGGAAAGCAGATATACTGACCGGAAGCTTCAATGAACTACCATGGTGCTCCACAGCGCTGTGGTAGTTAATTGAAAACTACAAGCCCACAGCCACTAAGGCTGCCGGGACTTGCAGTACATTCATTCATGGAAGTTCGTGAATGAATGACATGTACGTGTGGGTGGAGCCCCGCACGGCCCTGATGCTTTTATATCTGATAGCACAGGGAGACTTCACCTCGTACTATCTGCCGGAGGGCAGCTGGCACAGTGGAGGCTGAGGCTATGGAAACAAGTTACATGTTCCACCCAAAAACGGGTCGAACATGTAACATATTCCCAAAGGTGAACTTGTCCTTTAAAAAAAGAAAACTAAAGGGGATGTTAAGCTAATACAGTTGTGTTTTCAAATAAAATCATAATACATAAATTCTGTTTAAAATGAAACTAGAGGAAAATAAGCAATGTAATACATATAAAGGAACCTCCATGCTTGCAACGCCAGTAAACCTGACCTTACATGGTTCAAAAAACTGAACTGATTCCCCATCCACACACTGGAGGTGGATGTGGGAATCCTCCCCACTCTGTCATCACATGCTGACAGTGGAAAACCCCCACTGTCAGAATACACTGCCATTTGTCTGCAAGTGCTGATCAAAACAGAATATTGCAACAAACCAGTTACTGAGAAGGCAATCAATAGATTGCCTCCTCATGAATGGAATTGGTCATACGTGCATAAAAATTCACCTGGTTACTTCTGAACCAGCCAAATGTCAGTCCATGTATGGTCAGCCTTAACCACTTGCCTACCAGGCACTTATACCCCCTTCCTTACCAGGCCAATTTTCAGCTTTCAGCGCTGCCGCACTTTGATTGACAATTGCACGGTCATGCAACATTGTACCCATATGAAATTTTGATCATTTTTTTCTCACAAATAGAGCTTTCTTTTGGTGGTATATTTAATCGCCACTGGGCACTTTACTTTTTGCGCTATAAATTAAAAAAGTGCAAAAAATTTGAAAAAAAAAAAAAAGTTTATTTGTTTCTTTTATAAAATTTTTCAAACAGGTATTTTTTCTCCTTCACTGATTTGCGTTGATGAGGCGGCACTGATGGGCACTGATAGGCGGCACTGATGGGCACTGATAGGCAGCACTAAAGGGCACTGATAGGCAGTACTAATGAGGTGGCACGGATAGGCGGCACTGATAGACAGCACTAATTAGGGGTCACGGATAGGCGGCACTGATATGCAGCACTGATAGGCGGCACTGATAGGTGACACTGATGATGGGTACTGATAGACGGCACTGACTGGCATCACTTCTGGGCACTGACTGGCGGCACTGGCTGGCACAACCCCTGGGCACTGACTGGTGGCACTGACTGGCAGCACTGCTAGGCTGCACTGGTGGGTGGCACTGGTGGGCAGCACTGGTGGGTGGGCACAGGTGGGTGGCACTGGTGGGCACAGGTGGGTGGCACTGCTGGGCACATGTAGGTGGCACTTCTGGGCACAGGTAGGTGGTACTGCAGAGTGGCACAGGTGGGTGCACTGCTGGGCACAGGTGGGGGCACTGCTGGGCACAGGTGGGGGCACTGCTGGGAACGGGTGGGCGGGGCTAGTGGGCGCACTGCTGGGCGGAACTTGCGGGTGTCACTGCTGGGCACCGATCATCAGGGCACTGATCATCAGTGCCCTGATGATCGGTGCCGATCCCTGCTCTGACAACTGCCGGTTCTCGGCAGTACTTTCCTCACGATCTGACAGCGTGAGGAAAGTGCAGCCGAGAACCGGCACTTGCATTTCCCTGTGATCAGCGTGTCATTGGACACCGCTGATCACGTGGTAAAAGGCCGGTGGGATCGGCCTTTCACCACATCACGTGATCAGCTGTGTCCGTAGGACACAGCAATCACGGAGATCGCCGGGTGCGCGCCCCCTGGGGCGCGCAGGAGAGCGCGTTCTGGGAGGACGTCATATGACGTCCACTCAGAACTGGCCGGCCGCGGTGAAGCCGTCATTCGGCTATGCGCGGTCGGCAAGAGGTTAAAGCCGAACTGCACTGAAAAGGGGAAGTTCCACTTGTCTTCCTCCTCCCCTCCTCCACTGCCACATTTGGCACTTTTTTTGGGGGGGGAGTAGGGGGTACCTGGTTTTGACAGGTGCCCAGTCTGTCAGGGATCCGGGTGTGACCAGGTTTGCACAGTAGTGACTGGATCCGTGCGGGATGGATGGATCGTCTGGGTAGCGTCAGGCAAGCCAGGTCAGCAACGTGCGGGCAGTGAGGTATTGGAGGAGCAGGCAGACAATAGTCAGGGTCACAAGCCACGTTCAGTAACTCACGGGCAGCACGGTACAGAGGATCAGGCAGAAGGATGGTCAGGCAAGCCAGGGGTTAAACAGGAGACGGTCAGCAGAGGTCAGGATCAAAGCAGGGTCAGCAACTAGGCAGATAGGCAGGAACACAGGATACCAGGTACAGGGGCTAATGGGAAACATACACCAAGGCACTGACTGCAGGTCTGGCCATTCCTTAAATATACCTCCTGCAATCAGCCCCAGGTTTGGGCTGATTGCAAGAGTGAGCTTCTGGCTGCTGAGAGCACCCGCTGGTCAGCCCTGGTACTGCAGCCCACACGGCAGGTGAGTCCCACCACCAGTGCTGAGTCCATTCCTGACACAGTCCCAC